AGCCGGGCATAGATTCGCAGAATGTCGCAGATGATTTGATCAGGTCTCTAAGCAGACGACGTTGAGCGGCTTTGTCAGATCCTGTTGGTTCAGCAGCAGGCGCCGCGAGGATGTTCCTCACTTTCCCTGGGATTTGCTGGTAGGGTGTGGTTTTAGTTTTCACCGCGGAGACCACTACAGCATTAGAGGGAGAGAGTATTTCTGTGCTTCAGTTTGCTCCAGTCACCATGGCGAGTTGTACAGTCTGGTACAGAGGCGGCTCGTGATGCTCGGAATGTTGTGATCAGGATACGGTTTCTTTTTGATCAAGCCCTGTCGTGTTTTGTTTGACTCTGGAAGCGAGTATCTTATTCTCCTAGTCCGCCGATTGATTATTGATTTTACAATTTGGATTGATGTTTTATACGATTTCATTTGTCTGTGATTAATAGGCATGGAATCTGATGATTTTGCTACGAACAGTTTTGTTTGTGTGAGATGGATTTCTGCAAGTGAGGAATCGAGTTTGATTTTGATTCGCCCTGATTTCTTCTCATTTAGTCATGAAATGTGATTCTGGCATGGTTGGCTGCTCAGTATGGGCTCATTTCAGATACGACTGTCTGAAGAAGCAAGTGAGTTTAGTTGTGGCTTCTGGAGAGAGAGTTGTATTTCTCAGGGGAATAGGGTTTTCTCCAGTTGGTTTCTTTCTGTGTTGGAGGTGGTGAGCAGGATGTGAAGAAGGATGGTCCGGTATTTTTAGGTTCGGTTGGGATCTGACCCTGGGGTTGGTTCTGTTTCTCTTATCTTCCTGAGATCACAGATTAATGCCCTGTCGTGGTACGGACGGATTCTGCTGGATGAGTTGGGCTTTCCTGGAGTTGGTTTGGTTTTAATGTCACTTCGGTGGATGTGGAGTTATCGAATGTTTTTTTTTCCGGGTAACAATGACTCTTATATTCTATCGAAAGCTTAGTAAGGATTGGGCGCAAAAACGAAGATTCCTGGAGCTAATGAACTTACTTCAGGAAGTTGGTTGACGAGAGGGTTTTGTAACGGCTGCTAGTGTTCGTCTCCTGCTGGGGATCAACACACTGTTCTGTTTGTGGAAATGAGCTAAGGACGGTCATGTAAGAAGATACACGTACACGTAGGAAATAATTGAGGTTTGAAAGAAAACAGATATGATGATCCTAACTTTTCGTTGGTGAATATAACAGCGAGAAGTATGTCAAAACTCTAGGATAGGAGAGTTCATGCTCAGACCACGGTCCACGAAAACAAGCTCAGGGATTGCGAAAATAGTAAGTGGAATCAAAGCTCCTAGTGCAGACACAACCAACAAACCCCCAAAGATATTCGCTTGACAGACAGTGTTGTTTCTTCTTTGATTCGCTTTCCGGGCTCTTTGCTTCGGGTATTCCTTGCTCAGTTGTTTGAGCTCGTCACTTTTTCCAGGAGGATGGAGAGCGCATTGGGGTGATCGTGCACCGCCTAAGAATTCTGCTATGGGGCGCAAGGCGCTGTATTACCGTCCCTCCTTAGAAGCCCCCAGACGCCTACCGAGTTGACGAAGTACAAGAGAAACCAATAAGCATAACTTGCCTTACGCCTATAAACACCTCTCCCTTCCTCTCTCCTAGGCCGGCCCCTCTTCCTCCTTCCTTTACTTAATTAAGAGCCAATTAAAGTAATTAAATCAATTTGGATTTTCAAATTCAAATGGATTTTAATTAACTGAATTTCCTATTTTCCCCAACCAATTAATTCCCCAATGCATTCAGTTACTTCTTAAATCAAATCATTGATTTAGAAATTAAATTCCCTTCTTTCCCTTTTCTCTCACCCGCCCCCTATCAATCCCGTCACCTCCTCTCCCTGTTAAATCCTCCCAGCTTCCCGCCTCCCCTTCTTTGATTTCCTCAAAGAAATCTGTCCACGGAACAGGCACCTCTTGGGAAAGATTTGGCAAGCCAACCTGCTGTTGGCTCCCTACCTACCACACTTGGAAAACCTGCTGTTTGCTGTAAATCCCACCTTGGCCGAATTTTTGTTTTCGCATCTAGGCTTTAGTTTATTTCCTAATTCTAGAGATGAGAATTAGGAAATAAGAGCTCTCTTCCTCCAAAAGCTGCAGGCAGAAGTCTCAAGCCCGTAAGAGTGGACGGGAATTTTCTCCTGAGCTTTTCTCCTCAAGTGCAGGCTGAAATTTCCCAAAACATGTAACAGAATTTGCTATCAGCTTTCTATTCCCAACCACTAAAATCTGAGAATTTTCTCTCAGATTTTTTTGGAAATCTGAGGCACGTTTCTCATCCTTTCTCTTCTCCATTAAGGCTAGGCTTCTCCTTCAATCTTCTCTAGACCCTTATCTATTGGAACCTAAGAATTCTTCCCAGGTTTTGAATAAAAACCTGAAGAAAATTTTCAGATTTTGTGAGACATTTGGAGTTTGTCCCTCTACCATAGCAAAGCGTTTTTCCGTTCTACATCACATGTATTAATAAAAAAAAGAGCGCACCAAATACATGGAACCCCGCTAATGTATGACTTGGGAAGGGGACTGCTTTGCACAATCTTACCTTGCAAATAGATGTGTTTAATGACTCAAACCTAGGACCTTTAGAATATACTAAGAGACAGCTTAAATGCTACTGCAGGTCCACCCTTGCCAAGATTACTAATGTAGAACTAAATGCATTTAGATTGATGAAATAAGAATATTGCACGATTTCTTGATTAGAGCAATAAAGATGAAACATTTAGCAAATTAAAACGATAAAATAAAACAAAAGAAGGGTGCCTAAGCTTAGGCCAAGCCACTTGCTAAACACTTGAAAAAATCAAAATAATTTAGAAACTCAACAAAATGTTAAGTAGGCTTCAACAACATCCCTAATCTAACAATAAGATTAGAAGCAAATAAAGTGCACTCAATCCCTACGTTTACTAAGCTCGACAGAGTTTGGTGAGCAAGATCTTCATGAATCTATCAAATCACAAGAACAAGTTAGACAATGAAAATACGAGACAAGGGAGATTGGCAACCCCCTATAACGGTTGAGATTTGATCCTCCACCGAACGGCGTCAAGTTGTTCTTCAATGGCCTCAACAAGGGTGTCCAGAATTCGCTCTATGTAATTTTCGACGGTGTTGTCGATGCAAGGGTTGACGTCGAAAAAGGTCGAGTGAAGGATGCAAACAAACCCTTGTTCGTCGTAGGCGAGACCGTAATCAAAATCCGGATCAGCCATTCATAGGTGCTAGAAGAAGGTTGTCTCCAAATATTACTAGCAACCCCTTTGAAACTCCATTAGAGAGAAAGGAGTTTCTCTCGAACTTGAAGTAGAGATGATGGTGGTGTGGCCAGCCAAGGGAGGAGGGAGAGGGTTTCCAAGCAAAGCTCTAATTAATTCCTATGATTGAAATTAATTAAAGGAAAGAGGAGCTAGGTAGGGGCGGCGGCAAGGGGGGAGAAAAACAAGGAATGTGTTTCCAAATTGCGAGAGTTGTATTTTGCAAAGAAATAAAGAGGTGGGGAATTTCGGCCATGAGAGGGAGGGGGATTAAAAAAAGTTTCCAAGAGGGTGGAAGGATTAGGAAATAAATCCCTAGAGATTTAATTAAGGGGTCGGAGGCATCATGGGCTATGGGAGGATTAATGAGGGAGATTTGGGATTTAGCGATTAGGAAAGTGTTAAAGGAATTCCAATTAATTTGAATTCAAATTGAGTTTAATTTAGAAAACTTCCCTAAAATAGATTTAGAAATTAAAAAAAAAAATTCAAATCGGATGAATTTGAATTCAAAATCTGCCCAAAATTATATCAATCTAAAATAGGCAATGGGATTCAAAGGAAGAAAGGGGGTCTAGGGCCGGCGGCTTAATTGGGTTCGGGTGTGGAGGCCGACGGCTAGGTGGGGATGTTTGTGGAATTTTACAGGTAAAGGGAAAGGGGCTCAGTGAAGGTGGAGGTTCGGGCGTGGGCGTGGTGGGTTGGGGTGAGGAGGGTCGGGGTTGGTGGTGGGAGGCTGACAGGAAAGAGATAGAAAGTAAAACCATGAACCCGACTCGTCTAGGTTGGTTGGTGATGCGCAATTCTTCCTCTCCTAGGGATCCTCATGAGAACTCAAACATAGAAAAGAAAACTTTTAACATTCAATCATTCATTAACTTGAAAAGAAGAAAAATAGGGCTATAAATAGCCTCGTACAAAAATAAAAGGACGACAATGCCCCTAGGGCTTACATACGACCTCGCTTAATAAAAGAGTAAAACAGAAAAGCAAGAAACACATAAATAATAAAAGTTACATAACATAATAAAGAAAAAAAAAATACATGAAATGACTCAAAAATACATAGACTCGATCATGGCCGTAGATCGACGGCCACGCCTCTGATATACTTTTCGTGCTCTAATGTCCCCATCAATTACCTAATATGGCAGTTTGAAATGTATACAAATTATACCTTCTAAGTGTCAGAAGTCAAAGTCAGCTTTCACTGGAAGCATGGATCGTTATGTATGTGCTCAACCATTTACAGATCCTATCTATAAAGATATATATGAGAAAACCATGTCCCAAATAATGTTATAGTGAATATGATGAAGAATTTCTTTGCAAGGTATTATATTTCATTGTTTCAGAAGTGTACTTCCCAGTCAAACGGATAAAATTTTTACAGTACTGTAAATTAGAGTCAGCCCATGTGATCGTAAATCAAAATGCTCAGGTTGGGTTGAGAAATAATTAAACATAGTTAGCACTTAACTATAAAGCTAAGAAAGTAACCATGAATGCTTTGAAAACATAGCACATCAAAGTGACAGAGCTTAGTAAAATTGATCAACAGTACGCTTAAATTTATTGACATATTACCAAAAAAATGCACTAAAAAGTAAAAAAACAGTTATTAAGTCTACCTATATTACCCCATAATTAACAAGAGAAAGTAATTGATTTAAGGAGCGCTAACAAACTCGGCTTAAAACAGATCATATAGAAACAGATCTTACAATTCGAACATCAGCAGCAGTATACTTCGAGGAATCCACAGATGGCTCTTGCCGTACGCACAACTGAAGAGGTGAAAAATGGTTAAAGCAAACATTTCATTTTACGTATGTAGAAAAGTAAAAATAAAGTACTTTGCATTGTTTATTGATTTTGACTTGATGTTTAACATGGCAGAAACCACCTCAACATCATTAGCATCTTTAGCCGTAGCCCATCTACGTAAGGATCTACTAGGTAGAAACCGCTAAAAAAAAGAAACAAGACAGTAAACCTTTTTAAGAGCCTCTGCTTCTTCCAAGGCTCTTTGTGCCTCGTCTATTAATCCTTGCTCACCTGCAAAAAAGTTTAAATCATGACTGTTTTGTCTGAAATGATGAAGAAGTGTTTTGATATCAATATTTAAGAACAAAGAATGATCACAAAACATTTAAATGCTAAGGATTATCTAAAAAGAAGTTCAAAGGGCTCGTGAACTCATAGACTTGAATTTGAACCCCCAAAAAACCAAAAACTTTCTTTCTACAACCAAAGCTTCACCAAGGCACGAACTCATAAAGTTGAAGTTGGACCGCAAAAAATAAAAAAATTCCTTGCCACCACCAAAAGCTTCAACAAGACAACTTTGAGAAGTTGAGACCTTTCCCAATTAATGGATTAAATAAAAGGGAAAAAAAAGACCGAGGAAACTCATGGCTAATCATGACCACCTAAAAAAAATGTCTCAACTCCAATTGCAATATATAAGATCATAAATTATATCACTTCAAATCAAGATGCCACCCATGACCTTAGTGCATAATGAACAATAATTACTCAATATTACAGTCTACTGAATCAAACAATACAGTTTGCTCAAATCCAAAGTATCACCATGACCAAGTCTTAGTTGAACAGTTGATTGTACAATGCAGTACTAAAAATTGTAATATTGAGTTATATATAAAAATAGTACACTGGACATAAGAATGTAATTATGATCCTCAAAAGCAAGTATAGTAGATGGTCTCAATGACTATAATCACAATCATTTCAACCCTGGAAAACTACGAACAATACAAGACGTGGTCAATCTCTATACAAGGTATGTGGCACTGCTTAGCATTCAATAATGGATGGCCAAAACCAGCACTCCAACATATGGAGCAACTTGTCATTTGGCATGCCTTAAAAATGTGTTATGTTGATGTAGGCAATGGATGTGCCTTGTTTTATTTATTATTATTATTATTATTATTATTTTTTTTTTTTTTTTTTTTTTTTTTTTTTTTTTTTTTGGGGGGGGGGAGCAATGGAAGCACTTGTGTTGGACCAGGTAATCATTCCAACCATGGGTAAAAATCAGCCAGGTAATCTTGAAGTCCAAATTCCAACCAACAACTGGGTTCCTTCCCAAGGCAATTCTACCGATCCGATTCAAAATGAGTTATACAAACTTCAAATGAAAATGCACTTGTGTTCGGAAAAATACGAGAAGAAAAAGAAACTTTTGCAATACCTGTTTTAGCAAGAAAGTGAAGTGATTCAAATAAAATATGCAGCCTTAATTCAAGATTTGGATGCGGCGCCTTCAACTCGTCAGGAAAGTTCTAAACCATTCTCATCAAGAGATGACCCCTTTCAACCGGGGAAGAATTTGATGTAGGAAAAGCGGGGGCAATGGATGTGCCTCGGTTTTTGGGCTGATTTGGGTTTGGTTGTCTCAGATTATGCTGCCCTTGGTGAGCTGCTGGTTCTGCTTCTTAATTCAGCCCATTATGATGAATGGAATGTCTTTTCAGCTCATAAATTGGATGTCCTGGTTCTCCCCCCCCCCCTATTTGGCATTCGGTTTCTCCCCCTGGCTCTTGTTCCCTATGGATGTTCCTGTACCCGTGGTTGTCCGTTCTTGTCCCCCGCGTGGTGCCCTTCGGATGCTGCTCCAGGCGCTGCTTGTTGGTCTTTTGGCTCCCCTTTTTTGGTTGGTTCGGCTGGAGGTGGTTCAGGGTTTAGGGGCTTTCTATTTTCACATATATATATGGGTTGTTTTAGAGTAGAAAAATGTATGTGATGGAGTAATTTTTGTACAACAAAACCTAAGGGTTTTTGGATAGCTTGCGATCTATGCCTCTTCGTCTTCCCCTTCTTCTATGACTTCATCTGGGGCTTCTTATCTCTTTCTTCTATCTGCAAGTTCCACCCCATTTGTATATTTTTTCTCAATCAAGGAAAAGCTTCTTTAGGTGTTGTTTTTTATGTTATAAGCTTGTATGTGCCATCTTTCTAATATGAATGTTAAATCGTGTTTTGTTTAAGTTGTTTTGTCATGATATATTGTTAAATTTTGTCGTTTAGGAAAAGAAGACCTAGTTTATATGCAATCTAACTACGCTATAGTTTTTTTATTGCATCATATTTTATCTCAACAAACACCACCCACGCCCACGTCAACACATTTTGTCAAATACTAAGACCATCACTTCACTATATGGGTTCAACTAAGTACCATTTACATGCCATGTCACAATCAAAAACCCGATCAACCACACTGTCACCCTCCTATAATGCTATGTTGTAATGCGTCTTTGATGAGAGCTAAAAAACTTGTGGGAAAAATTCCAACATACTAAAATTGAAAATCTAACTTGGAACAATACAAAAAATTGCAAATATCCAAAAAATAAATAAAATATTGCCCATGGCTCATTTTAATGCCAACAAAATTATGAAAATATTTGGAAAAACATCAAATGCTTTACAAATACTCCTACATTTTTTCAAGGTCATCCAAATAGAGCTAAGCACATAATTTTTTTTATCTAACTCATAAATAAAATTTTAAAATACTTGAAAGCTCCCTTTGATCATCGTCATTAGCCTAACCCAAATCATTTATAATCAACTTTATGAATCCTCCCTCGCCATTCTTTTATGATGATTGATACATGAGGTGTTAAACAACTTAAACGTAGTCTTAACAAATCTTTTATACTTTATCCTTGTTACAGAAGGACTACCATTTTTCCTTCTTAAAATTTAGACATAATTTTTAATACGCATTTATGGGTGCATTCTCTAAACTTTTTAAAATAAAGACATAATTTTTAATACACATTTTATTCGTGCATTTTCTACCCTTTTTTACACATGTACGGACTATCAAAATTTATTCCAACTACTCTATCATCAAAAAATGCTACTCTAGTCATCCCTCAATATAATCATTCTTTAATTTATCCTTCCATCTCATTCTAACCATATAAACTTAGTTATCAATGATTTTTTATTGACCAACAATCAAATACATACAATATAACCCACCTGATTACAATTTAATTAAAATTTCATTTATGATTTATGACATAATCTTATTGTATCACACTCCCCAGGTACTCCAATTTAGTCATTCAACATTTAGCTTTAGAAGTCATATCCCTAACTTTATATCATTCTTTTATCTAATAGATCCAAAATACTAAAAATTATCATAAACATGTCATTATCTTTTATTAATATATTGATGGAGAATTAATTATTAATATCACACCCAAAAAAATTGCCACATGTCCAATCAATTTTCTAGTAATTTAAAAACCTCGATGTTCTAAAAATTTTATCCATTATTTCAAATTTTCAATTATTTTAGCATTTCACGATCATTAGATGTACATCATCAACAAAAAATATAAACAAGGCATCTCACTTTACGTATTGTCCATAAGCATCTCCATTACAAAGAGAATAAAATCTAGGCTCAATTTTGATCCTTAATGTAATAATGAAATAAGAAAACTCTTTGTTCACACTATAACTACTAATACCAATCAATGGCTTGGTTTCATATGCCTTGTCAAGATATTAAATACCATATAAAGATCATTTCTCCACACCCAATATCTTTACATTAATTGTCTTAGCACAAAAATTGCTTCCACAATACAAACTTGATTATTTTAAATCAATATATTTTTTCAAAATCTCCCAGTGCACTCGCTCCTATAACTTAGAATAAATTCATTTACAATGTTATGCTTGATTCTCAAATATTGGTATCAAAATATTTCTTATCTAAATATGATACTCTTAGCCTTCAAATTCATTGAAAATATTTTTTAACCAAACCATCACAATATTCCTCACAACTCTTAAAATCCCAAGGTATCACATATGAAATAAAATTTAATATTTACACATCTTCTTCTAAGCCAATATCACTTCACTTTTTTGGATTAAATTATATTATATCTCATTATTTTATTTAGTATATTATTTTATATAATAACTTCTTAATATACATCAAATAAATTCTTACCGCATTCCATAATATTTTTTCCATTAATTATCCTAAAACAAAAAATTGCTTATGTAATAGATCTTCCTAGTATGAAATAAAACTAATTATCAAAAATTAAGGGGTCGGTCATTTAAGATCACTTTTGTATACATTTATTCTTCGCTTTCTTGATTGCACCCGACATCATCTAGATGTTCCTCATTTATTTTGTGAACATCTTAAATCACAAAAAATGTAGCCAATCTCATGTAAATGATCACTAAATTCCCATAAATGCAAGGTAAAAAAAGAAATAATAATTAATCATCGCATCATTACCACCTATTATGATCCAAGATAAGTTGTAAAGTAGCTAAATTCTGCAGGTACACCATCAATTTTCCAATGCAAGGTTTAAAATTACACAATTAGAAGCTCGCTTCAACGTAATTTATTTAAAAAAAAAAATGAGGCATATGATTCACACTTGATGAGGCTTCCACCTCAAATAAGGTGAGGCATGTCTCAAGGTACACATCAGCACAATTTTAGCAAAATTTTGAAGATACATAAACCTCAAAAATAATTGTTTAGGTAATTTAAAATTTATAATTTATCTACATATAATTAAACCTAATTACTATACCTAAATCAACCAAATGTGAGAAGAATCGCACGACCTCAAACTTGTAGCTGCACAACACACCAGGTGGCCTTCACACCCATGTTCAATCCTACTGTGTCACTCTCGCCACTACACCGCCGCTGCTACTTCTCCAAAAACTCTTCTCTTGTTGTTGGAAATTCATTTTCTTATTTTTAATATGAGGGACGAGAAAAAATAATTAACTACAATGATAATTCTAATGAAAACCCTCTAAGTGATGAGAGTGGGGGAAACTTTTGAATTCGTATATAATGACCTTAGATTGCTTAATCACATTGAACATGGAGATTATTTATTTAGCATTGTTTATAGCCTTATATGACTTTTAATGGCATTATTTTTAATTTTTATGATCTTATTTTAAAATCTTACTATGATATTAACATGTTATTTATTATTTAATATTTTAAATTAATATAATGATTTAATTTTGAAGCTAACCTCTCAAAACACCTCGAGGCTTATGCCTTTCCTTAGCGAAAGAAAATCCCTTAATGCCAGATTGTGCAATTTCAAACCTTGCTGCATCGTAAATCAAAACGCTCACATTGATGCTTTCAACTTCTTCATAACCAACCATTGCCAAAATCCCTCAATCATGTCCAACTTTCATCAAGCACATATCTTCACCCCTTATCGACATCGCAAGCATGAAAGATCCCAACAGTGAAAGCCCTGGACTTTCAGCCAACATTTTGGCAAAAGTGTCCAAATACATCTCATCCATTTTCCTTCGTGAATGAGGAAAAACCGTACGGACATTGCTCTCTTTTCCCATTGAGTTGGAAGTAATCTTCACAAAACTAGTGGCTTACTTCTCAAAGCAAGTACTTAAGCTTGCTCTGCACCTAGGGTTCTACATGCCGACAATTTACATGTACCTCAACCAACTCCTATACCTCATATTCCAATTATGAAGTGTAATAACCCAAAATTTCATAAAATAAATTTATTTTAAAATATAAAAATTTTGAACTATAGCCATGTGGTACTTTATTCTCTATTCTACAGTAACCAAGATTTTTGCAAGCAACGGAACGACACATAGAACGGAGCTATGATACCACCCCCCATCCCAAAAAAATTTTTTGATGTTGTGTCGCTAAGGAAGAAAGGAGAGAAGGGGGAGAGAGCGGAGAGAGAAAATTATTCAGGGCATTTTCATCCATCGGGTTATGAAACTTCATCTGATTATGATAAGTAATATAAATCATATTTTTGTTGTCAATGATTTTGATTTCTAGAATTTTATCTCTCGTATAATTGATAAAAATATAATATCTCCTGATTCAGGGAACTTTTACTACATAATTTTTTATATGTGATATATTGAACTCCTAGTTATTGTACATAAATTTTGGTTGATGAATATAAAATTATAAATTGATGTATATGTTTTATAATTGCTTTCGTTGGACTTATTTATACTAGTGAATTATTAAAGACGTCGATAGATTTAAATAGAAGATAAAAAGATTAATTCTTCCAATTTAGATATTGAGCCATCACATGAAGCCTACTCTAACTGTTGTCAAAATACATATAACTACTAGGGCTCTAGTTCTATAGCTCCTATTGTTTCTTCTATGATACATGCTTCCTCACACAGATGCTCAAGAAATAAGAGGAGATAATTGGTAGCATCGTTGAAGTTGTCATATATGTTGGCAAAGATAGAGCCGGACAAGACTACGACGTGGATACCATCCTCATCGACTTTGCCTTACAGCATTGCGTTGAACTTCGATTCAATTTAATAGACTAATGCTCATCACTGGTGACCATGATTGATCAAAACATGGTGGAGCTTCATTATCGTTAGGTAGTGGTAGTGGGTGGTTGAGGCCATCATGTAGCTTTGGCGTTCCAAATTGCTCATAACCTCTAATTGGGGATAGACATCGGTGTTAAAAATGGTGGTGCTTCGTTATCATTTCGTAGTGGTAGTTGGGACCATCATATAGCTTGGGGCCATCATTAGCATCGGCATTCCAAATTACTCCTAACCTCATAACCTTAAACTGGGACCATCATGTAGCTTTGGCATTTTAGTCAGTGTTAAAATCACTTGTTAGAAGCGAATATATTTATGGTGTTCTTCCGCCCAATATTATATTGAAGAACAAAAAATAAATTTCATATAAAGTAAACTTTTGAAGAAAACAATACCATGTATCTTTGATCAAGACAAAATGTTGAAGACATTTGTGTTGCTCATCTTCAATCTAACTGGACCTTGAATACCTTCATAATATCGATCCTCGATCTAGCTATAGTTTTGCTTCCCTACATTGATTTTTTTAATAAGGTTTAAGTAGATAAATAATCTCTAATGGCGGCTTAATTTCAATAAAACCTAACGATAACTTCATTGCCATCAGGTAGTGGTCGTTATGGTTGTTGTGCGACCTCAACAATGCTGACATGCTCATGACCTTTGATCAGATGTATAAGGGGTGTGTTATTAGTGTTAAAACCACTAACAAATGACAAAGCACTTTGCGTTTCTTCCCATGACTAATATTGAAGTCTAAAAATAAAAAATAAAAAAGAATAACAAAAATATAAAACTTAAAATAAAATATAGATGGATTATAAAATTCATCTTCATATTCAAGGCATTTGAATTACATAAACTCTAGCATGAAATAATGGACAACTTTAAGTCAAATTAATTATGATACCACATAAAATCTATACAAACACCAATTCTGTCTTAGCACATTGATTGTTATGCTAATATATTAAGAAGAAATGTCATAAGATGTTTATCGATGAAAAAATTCTTAAAAGCAACCCCCACATCTCTAGACAATGTACAAGGAATCACAACAATAAAAGAAATACACCAATATATTTTGTGTTGGTGCATTGAAAATGGCGTCATGGCATAATTCACAAAGCATATGCTCAAATGATAAAGAAAATATTATGGACACTCTTTGTGATTATAAATGGTTCATTTATAGATAGGAAAACAAAATGATCATAAAACCGTTTTCAAAATAATAACTATTAAGTTGATCAGGCATATAAGCCAAGGACACTATTTATCTCTAATTAATCAAAGAGCCTTATCAAGCGGCAACTATTGAGTCATCTTGTTAGCACGAGATTGTAAGACTCATACTTATATGTCATTCTAAATTTAGAGCAATAGCACCTAAATTGGACTGCCCTTAAATTAGAGTTTTCAGCCCTAAATAATTAGGCCTCTTTGACAAAAAAAGTTATCAAACATAATCATTGATTTAAAAAACATTTTAAGGCTTACGCCTTGCTGCGTGCCTCACTATGAGAAAGACAAAAAAATGTCTCGAGGCTTATGTCTCTTCACTGTGTGAGACTTAAACCTCTTTTAATTGAGGTGTATGCCCCAACGCTTTATGAGACGTTTGAAGTGGGAACCCTCAAATGAGTTGGTATAATAAAAAATTATATTACAATAAACTTATAATATATTCAATCGTTAATACAACTTATAATATACTTATAATAAACATAATAGTTAATATAGCTTTTTTTATTTTTTTAAAGGTTAGTTAGGATTTAAGCCGAATAAGTGACTCGATACCGAGGTGATTGTAAGTTGAGTGAAAGAATAGTGAGTGGTTGTGAGTAGAATTGTGCGGGCAAGAATGACTAATATCTCATGGGGAAGGAGATTAAGAGCATGAAAGTTCGTACAGGCTTAGTTTGAGGGTAAGTTTTTTATTTTATTTTCTTTTAGAAAAAAAATTATATTTCTTATTTTTTTTATACTTTATTATGACTTATGCTTTAACTATTTTTTAATTTATTTTTACTTGCTTTTCTTTTAATAAATTTTTTTAGGCTTCAGATTTTATTTAAAATTTTCTTAGTTTTCTAAGTTTTTTTTTTCAAGGGTTACACCTTGATCAACCTCTAGGCATACGCCTTGCTTTGCTAAGGTAAAAAAATGCCACAATTCTTGATTTTGTCTTTTTAAACGTTCGTCCTAATACTCCTATTAAAATTCATAATTACTATTCCAAGCAAGTTAATTCTTAAGCATTTCAATTGATATGAGCGCCATCAATCCAATTAATTGAGTCAGCACAAAGCTATCAGCCCATCAGACAATACTAAATTAATAGGATCATATTATTTATAGGATAATGTGATAAGATCCATTATTGAACTTTCCTCATTCTTAAAGTTGTAAGCCCCACTTTTGGTAAGGCTGTAAAGCCCATTAAATGGCTTCTCTCGTCCTCGAGCTTGGACCTTCCAATGGATGTTAGCAGCAAACCCTATTAAATTGGGTTGTCACAAAGCAAACAAGGTCATAAAAATTCATGGGCCTCCAAGGACATAAGTTCTATCTTGATTAATTTGGGTTGACATTAAGCCAACAAACCTCGTAAATCAAATATTGAGTCTTTCAATGGATGTAAGCTCCAACCAAATTAAAAGCAAGCTAGTCCTCATGCTAACAAGTCCAAAAATCAAAATCAAAATCACCAATTAAAAATCTCATGTGTCTTGGACATGCTTCTTTGAGTTTACCTTAAACTTTTGAAAAACACATGATCATGTTTGCCCTTGCCACTTTGTCAATCATGTTCAGTACCTCTAAACCACAACAATGCTTTGTGCCTCTAAACTATTCAATGAACTAGTACGATTAATCTTCTACCAGTAAATGAGTCGATATCGGCCTTGAAAGCACATTTTCGACACAAATATGTTTCCACCACAATCTGGTTAAGCTACCTAAGAGGAGGCAACCAATTGTTGATAATCAAGCTTCCAAAATGCTACAACTCAAAGCCATCCATCATTTCCATGATGAGTCTACTAATACACTCAGTCTAATGAAATCATGGGATCATGATATGATTTACCTTCATTACCCAAAATGTAACCATTAATTAAGTTCAAATTTAAAACCAATGTTTAAATCTAAATTTGAACCTAAGAAACCGCTTAATCGAGAGTAATCTCAAGTTAGTAAAGGGATAATAAACTATAGGATCTTACACCTATAAAAAGTTTTGAGTTTTGACCTAAGATCTAAGAAAGATATGGTTTAAACAAAAATAATTTACCTTAAGAAAAATTGCTCACAAGTTTTTTATCATATAAATTGAAGAAACTTGAGAAATAGATTGTCCTTTTGTTAGTGAGCAATATCATAACCAATTTGATAAGATGTCATATTCTTATGAACATGGCATTTCGCGTTCTACAGTTCATTTTATATGCAAAATAATCCCATGTGCACAGCATATCATGCTCTACTTTCAAAGACTCCTTTAACCTCATATCCATGACATGCATATATCAACAATTCATACTTTCATATATTGCAAACGTATCTTCTTAGAGCAAAAAATACAAGAAGCACAATAATGTCAGCTATTCTTTCCAAAAAAAGTATAGCAAAACAAACCAAGATCTTCTGCCTTCTTCAGTTTTTCATTAATCATCTCTTGGGTGCGAGGATCCGGAGGATTGGGTGCAGGGACAGGAGCCAACGGTGGATGGATCTGATGTGGTTGTGGTAAAGAGGCTCTATCTATGTTAAAAGCATCAAGGAGAAGCATTGCCTGCAAGAAAAAAAGACATATCCTAAGTACATGATCCCAAATATAAGCATGAATTTCTGAAGCTAGCATAAAACAAGATGACTTCTAATTATTATCAAGAAATGATCTCAAAATAAATGTGCTTTCAAGTTGTAAATCACTGCCTGTTTGTCAGCTCTTTTTGCTCTGAGCTCTTCCACTGCTTCTTGAGCCCGGATTTTATTGTCGGTTTTTCCTTCTAAATCTGTGTTCAAACAGTACAGAATCCAATCACAATTATTATCCAAAAGGTTCCTCGCCAAAACAATGTATGCATCCTTATTTAAGTACAATGTACGAGATAGTTAAAAAACATGATAGAAATGCTTTGGATCACAGTAAACATAACATCTTATGAGCCATATAAGGGCTAGAAGAAATCATAAACAGAAATAAAAAAGCTTAAAATGCTAAAAAATGGTGAATATGTAACAGAAGAATGACAGTTAAATCTTCACAAAGAAAACTAACGTCTTAGAACTATTCTATTCAAGCTTTTAAAAAGGCATATCAAATCTTGGCATGTTGTAACAGTTATCATGCTGTGGAAACAGCCAAATCATGAAGGTAGCTAGCAGAGTACAAGAAGAACCACGTACTGTATTAGCCGCAGGTTATGTAATCAAACTAGGAAAAAAAAGCTCAGATCAGGTACAAGATACAAATTTAGAAGACAAATGAAATATAAGCACAAGTTATCACGTTATGTACTCCTAAGGGAACTTAAACTGTAGCTCAGCTTTTGGCAAGCAAATTGGATTTGTCAGTATGTATAATTATGTTCCAAGCAACCAATATACCTTTTGTAAAGTCACAAAAAGAACCTAAGACCAACTCGTCAAGCAAAGAAAAATATATAGGCTTTCTCTGAAATCTTTTATATAATAATAAGGTGGGCTGAATGAAAATTTTGAATATACCTCAATGTGTTCATGTTATCTCAAATAACAAGTCAGTTCAGCCAAGATAAAAAGTTATCTACACACATCAATACAAAGAACCTTATATGTTCCATCAATCACAAAAAAGGCATTCATGATTGAAACAAATTTAATTCAGGATGAAGAATACTCCAAAATTTTGTTTCCACTCTACAAATCTGCCATTCAATATCACCAAGAAAATAAAAAATTTATTGAAAAGGCAAATGCTAAATGGATGTAGAACAATGTAACAAACCACAACATAAAGCAGTTTACAAAAAGAAAATATCGGATGATCAAACATTCAAACCTAAACTATTAAATGAAAAAATATGCAATTCATCACATCAGTCATATATTCATAACATTGATAAAAAAACAGATACATTCTCCATAACTCCATTTGATAAACTAGATTAATTCAGGTAACTTGAACATCATTTATATCGTATCTAGGACAACAATGAATCAAGATAAGGAAAATGCTAAAGTTTGGAACGGATGAGAAATCACCAAAAGCATCAACTTCTTTCAACTTCTCCTTGATTTGCTTGGACAACTCCAGCACTTCTGGTGTCTGAAACATCAGAAATAAGTTTAATCCCTCATGAGACTATGCTATAAAGTTATAGTTTAAGAGACAATATATGTACATCAAAAGATTCAAAACAAGTTGATTAAATACCTGTGTAACTTCAGAAACAGATATTGCTATGGCAGCCTTAGCATCCTCACTCTCTAAACGCTTCAGTGCTCTTTGAATTTTCCTCTCACACTCTACAATAAGTCTTTCAATTAAATCTTCAAGATCTCTGTCAAAGTTGTGCATACCTTTCGTTTTTGCTTCTTCATAACTATATCTAATTCAGGAAGAACAATAACCATAGTCCATAACCACCCCTGACCAAGTTGACCCGTGTAGTTTTACAATCATGATTTTACTAGGTGCAAAGTAAGAGATGGACAGTTAGAGGCAGAGAATTTGGGTGTTTTTTCAGAAGAAAAAAAAATACCATCAATCCCCATTTTATTAAATGGATGCATGTTAGGATTAAAATATGCACCAAAGTAATCCCAGATTGAGAGAAAGATTGCTGGTGAACCTCCCCTTTGCTCTATGATGCTTATGAGTTGTTTGTTCAAAAAACCCAAGCCATATGTTTAACCTTGATTCTTGGAATACTTTAGACTGATAAGGCTATGATTCCTTATTTGGTGTAGAATTTACGTTAAACCTTTACAAAGGAAAATGATGCAGTTAAGAAGATCTGAAGATATGAAGCTACAACAAAGTAGTGAGCAAATTGAATGTTATGCTTTAGAAAAACAAAAACTAATGAGGATTCTTCATCTGGGTAGAAGCTCCTTCATCTTCTTTACTCTTCTTGAATTGCACCTTTAACTTCTTTCCTTCTCCTTCTCACTGTGCCTCTGCCTTCTCTTCCTTGCAGCCTCCTGGTGCCCAAATTAATTATCCACATTACATCATCCTTGTACAGTTGTACCCAAATTAATTCTCAACATTCAAGGGCTCTCAAGTAAAGAGAGAGTGTGGATGGGAGAAAGAGCTAAAGATAGGCAGAGAGGTTGAACAGTCATAGGGCTAATGAAGGCTAAGAGGCAAATATGTGATACAAGAAAAGAAGATAAGCATTAAGAAGCCCTAATCATGAGTTATCCTACATCAGAAAATCAAGAAGCTTCTTTGCAAAGGTAGAATCCCCATGAGATTTGGCCTTCCAAATACTTAGCATTCTAGTTGTTTACTATTTGATACTCTATTGTCTTCTTAACTATATTGCTCTCTTTTCACAACAATCCCTCAATTTCATATGGCCTAAATTAGAAAAAAGGATAATCTAATTGGGTTTAGAACAATAAAAAACAACCTTAAATGCAACAAAAAAGATATCTTAGCCAAATCATCTAAAGTATTCCTATAATCAAGAAGAAACGCATATATTTGCTCTCAGCAGTAATCATCTTCTCAGTCTTGGACCACAGTTTTTGCCTTCAATTATCTTCCTATCCATCACGGTGCAACCCAGAAGATTGCAAGTGCTTCGCCATTGAAGCATGCAAAGTGCAATAGCTCTTCAAAACAACGGTAATTTCCCAGTGAGAATATATAATCATTTTGTAAAAGTACAATTTTAAATTAAAAATAATAATAATAAATAAACTGGCAACGAACATGTAAGGATACTCTTTTCTAAGCTGCAAAGAATGCACCTTCGGACAGGGACCCAGATCCATTTTCTGATAAGCAAACCCAAAGTTATGTTTGCATTAGCATTAACAGTGTAATTAAAGCACAAACAAGCAAAACAGTTTCGGTGGCAGCTTCAGGAGTATAAAACAAACATAAATGCAGAAGAAGGGCAAATATCTAGCAGAAAATAAATTCATTCCCAGGATTGCACCACTACGAAATCTTAAAAAATACAAAAATAAAAGATTATTTTCATAAAAAAAAAAAAACGAGCAAGAAAACTAGACTGAAAACCATGACTACCCATCTCCCACAGAAAATGACTTAAATCATGAAAAATGTAGTTTTAACAGAAGCAAACGAAATTAGAATACGGAAAATGAGGTTCGGAACAACAAAAACCAAAAACCCTAAGCACAATAGACATTGGCATAAGAATAAATCAGATGAATTGACGAACAGATAGAGTGCATAACTTATGATGGTATGATTACCGTCAGTTGAAAGAGGTCGTGAGGGCATAGGCCGGCGAGATAGAGCCGGCAGACCTCGCGATCAGAGTACTTACGGTCGACTTCTGTCACGTCCCCATTTCTATTGGCTCCCATGAGGACGTCAAGCTGTTTCCTGATCGCATCCATGGCTGAGAATTGAAATTTGTTATTAAAAAAAACTACCGTTAGGGTTTCGGCTTCTGGTGGGTTGGAAGACGGCCTTTCAAGGAACACGGACCCTCATGCCCTCGACGATAGTTTTCAGTTCTTAATTACTTCTTCTCCCAACCTATTATTTTCAATTGCTTTGCTCCCAAGCCCATTAGAAAACTACAAATTAGATTTCTACCCGGAAAGTGCAAACCCACATGCTAAAGTTTCATCCCCAAATACAACCAAATTTAAAATTACAATTTTATTATTTTTATTATTACATCATTAAACAATTTTCAAATATTAAATGATTTAGTCAATTTGAGAGTCCCGATGAGAAAAATCTAATGAGCTCAATATATTTTAATTAGGACAACGTGAAAGTATTTAATTGTTGAAAGAGTGCTCTATAATTAAAAGAATCGATACATATAGTCCAAATGAGTATTCCAAATTTTCTCCACATTTTTAAGGCTTGTGATTCTAAAAAATATATAAATATGTTCGTACTCTCTACATGAAAGGAAATATTGGGACTTTTGGAGCTTTGACTTGAGCTTGAGATTTAACAAAGCTCAAAAACTCTAAGAATCTCAAAGCTCTACTCGAGCACCATAGTCATCTCGTTATCTAATTGTCATTGTCATACCATATTCATTATACCCCCCCCCCCCCCCCCCCCCCCACCCCCCCCCCCCCCCCTCCTCGAACAATACAATGCATGGTCACACAAACCCAGAACAAATAAATAAAACAAACAGTCATGACTGTATTAAAAATGGAGAAATATGTATATATACCTAAACAAATCAGATCTCGAATGCTCAACTACTCAATTAGCCCTTTCACATTTCCCTGACTTGAAATAGAAGGCAGCGCCATTGTGAGCTAACATAGCTCAATAGGTCATACCCACCAATATAATTTTCCAGCAAAGCTTTTATTATGCATGTAACAGAATGCAAAGCAATTCATAAGAAATGTAATTAATTGAGCATAATATTAATTTATAGATATCTCAAATAAAAGCATGTTATTCACTTAAAGTAAATAAATGAACACTTTATATATCAGGGTATAAAAATATTAGATTTCCCTAAAGCCCTTATATTTCCCATTAAAAACAAGATGTTATGACTACTGTGTTAGTATATCAGAAAATAAACCCTTATAACTCTCAATATCTTGCACATATAAAATATTAAAAAATTAAAGTATTTATGAATCCATATGCATTCAGCACAAGAACAAAACTTTCATCACCCATCAGATCTCCTCAGAGTCATGCAACTTAAGCAGATAAACATATATATCATTGTATTATAGAAAAAATATTAATAAATCAATTTCGAGATTTCACATAATACTTTAATAGTTGGTAATAAAACTATCTACTAAGCAATTTTTTTATAATTTTAGAATATTATCAAATCACCAATGATTGTTTATAACATAGTTTTGAAGCTTTAATTGTACTACAGCCTTATTTTTTTTAACCGTAATTATTTTATAATTTGATGGAAAACCTACAATTTCCAACTTACCTTGTAAAAATGTCATAGAAAAATATCTAAATAGTAAATATTCAGAACTATTATATTTATAATATATAAAAAATTATACAATAAAAGTTTTATTATTCTAAAGTTATCTTAATTTGTCTCAATTAGAATCATAAATTAAATAAAAAAATCTCAAAATTCTTGCATTTTTTAAAACTAAGATAGGCATATTAATGTAACTTACTATAGCCGGATAATTTCATAACTTGGCCAATAATAGAAAGTGGATCGAAGTTATCCAAACTCTAGCTTTCTCTCTCAAGCCAACTGCTTTGAGTAGAGGAAATGGTTTGAGAAAAAGCAAAAACGGATATTTTAAATATAAATTTTTGACCTGGCGCTGCAACGCCCAGCGCCCAAGCTGTGCTTTATAGGGCTACCCTTATAGAAGCAATGCACTGCAATGCCACCACCAGCGCCATAGCACTATAATTATTTTGGCCAAAAACAGATAGCTCAAAGTTGTGGCGCTACAAGACCCAGTGTTGAGGAGCCCCAAGGAAAATTTTTAAAATTTTCAAATATTTCCTCACTGCTTAACCTTGGTAGAGGCTGCTACATCCCCATTTTATTTTTAGTGAAAGCATAATTATTTCTTATGAATAAATGGTTTTAAGTAAGAATGTACGTTGAAAGTCAAATCAAGTGTTTTTGCCCCCCTCTTCAAAGTGATGGTTTAAATTAGTATTTTTCATGCATTATGGGAGAACTAGCTTGCCTGTAGGACTCCAACTTTTTTTTTAAACCCGCAAAGGGGCCTACGTGTTAAAATTAAATAAACGATTACACAGTCTATAATAGGAAACTACAGCTCACTAAAGCTCGCAAGAGCACAAAATACAATGAAAAAAAACTCCTAGCCGATTGTTCCTAAATCTTACAATTACAAAAATAGCTAAACATAAACAAGGTCAGCAAGACGACAGCACCCAAAAATAAAGGAATAGCAAGAGAAAATCAATGAATCCCGTCTTCCAAACAACATAGGGGAATGAAGCAAAATGCGAGCTCAGTAGTTAGTCAAGGCTTCTAGCGTCCAAGACGTCCTGCACGGACCCTCCAGTAAAATGTAGAAAGCGACCCAACGAACAAACCTGAAAATCCACATCTACGGTTGCCACCAGCAAAAACGACTGGGACGCGAGCCCCGACCACATCATTGCTCTTAGCCTCACAATCCTCCAATCGAACAAAAAATTTGCCTTGCGTAAGAAATGGGAGACGACACCAATGAGGATTGCGCCCTAGCCTTTATTGGCGAAGGATTCTTGATGTAGAGTACTAAACTATCTTATTACTTCATGTTACATCTTTTCCTTTTTCTGTTACCATAGTACAAAGGTGAAAGGATATATATATATATATATATATATATATATATATTCTATCATTAGAGAAAGATATTATAGGGAAATTTTGTCAACTTTTTATGAAGTGATATAAGAAAATATTTTTAAAAGAAGAAAAGGAACGCATGAAAAGATGAAGATTGCATTAACTAACTTAATGTACATTAGCAGATTTGAGATTAGTTTTATATATATATATATATATAGAAACTTTGTAGATGGTATGATTTCGATTTGGCTTTGGGAAATAGATTAGTAAACATTTATGCAAATTTTTAAGTGCTAATTTAGCATGTAAATCACTTCTAAAGCGAAGTAAAGGGAGCTATTGTTAAGCATAATTGAGATGACTAAAGTGAAGTGCTTGAAAGTTGAACTAGTGAGAAGCAGGGCAGTAGAGCTTGTTCAGTAAGGCTTCGTTTGGGATGGCTTTCTAGTAAAATTTCATTCTAAAAAGTTACTTTAAGAAGCAATTAGTAAGTCGTCCCAAATGGAACCTAAGGCAACCAAACATGCTTGATAAGCTAGCAAGACAGCAGAGATTTTTTTGAATTAGAAAATTGTTTTAGAAAGCATTGAAAAGTCGTCCCAAACGAAATTTTAATTAATTATTTTGATAAATCAGAACTTATTGATACAATTCTCCTAAAATTCAATGTAGAAGAGTTCTAATGTGATTAAAGTCAAGTCATGTATTTGAAAGTTAGGTCGAGTCTTGAGATGGAAAATTAGTACTGATTTCTTAAGTCTTACAAGTTAGCTTTGATTTGCTTTTTGGTGCTTGCACTTAATTTCTTTGACTGGAATGTTTAAATGTTCGCAGCATAACATTTTGTTTTTCTCCTTTTTAAGGGATTGTTTGAATTTTAATTTTTTTTTAAGGTCTTCACCATTTCAAGAGATTATTCTGTGCGGATGCCGGGCGGGAGAACCGTCCAGTTTATGCTTAGGTACCGAACAATATTGAGTCTTGGTACTAAGCTCGACACCGAACAAGACAGATTTTTATTGGAATCTGAACTCCACACAGAATAATTTTTACTTCATTTCTAACCATCATTTTCAACTTCAAAGAGCTATCAATGTTTTTGCAGTCGTGGACTTTGAAAAAAACACTGAATATTCAAATTTACATTACAGATGCATTTTGCAAAGTCCAAAGATCAAAGCTTTACGATTAATCATACTGCTGACATCATTCTAAATAACTTGAATGAATTTTCTTTTCACGAATTTCCACGCGCGCACGAGATTCTCCAAGAACCGTAGTCAACAAGATATCCTCCTCTTTAATTTCCTCGAACCCAGGCCAGTCTTCCTTCCCACCACGTAAAACTTTCACTAATAAGTACTCTCCAGCTTCTCGTCTGATAATCAATCCTCTTCCCCAATTCCACGAAGAAAGCGTCAAGCATGAGTTGCCGAAGGTATCGAGCTCTACTTTTCGTCACTTTCGTCGTCTTCGTCATCGTCGTGGCGAGCACGCAGAATGCTACTGCCATACGAACGATGTCAGAAGAGCTTAGAGAGAGAAACAAGGATCCTTCCGTCGAGCAGAGTGTATACGAGAAGGCTAAAGAGATTATGGCTTCGTGGATGGAGAAGTTGCCGTCGGGGCCGAGCCCGGGCGGCGGTGGCGGCCACCACCGTTAATTTGAGCGGTGGCCGCGCAGCTTGGATTGCCGGCCGCTGCTAGAGTTATTACATGACATGTCTATATAATATATAGTTAAAAAAAAAAAAACAGATTGTGCAAACGCGCGTTAATTGAGCTAAATAGCCTTAATTACTTTTGGTGATTAAATACATTTTCCATTCATTTATTTGTAACTTTTTTGTTGTAAATTTCATCAGAATAAAAGGTGTATTTGTTTGCAATGATAAATTAGTATTAATATATAGTCCATTATCCTTGCAAGAAGCTTCAAACTGCTTTGTTGTTTTTTTAACTGTGAGAAGAGTAATCGACAAACCTTCTTATATCTATTTTGGTTGAGAGATCGCCTTTGCAATTAATAAGGCTTTATCTATTATTTGACCATATAATTTATTTACTCTATCTTCTTTATTTGAGTTAAGTTTTGCTGAGATGAGGATGCTCGTGTGGATGAGTGTATTTATTCTTAGAGATAGAATACGAAATGAGTATATCAATGAAAAGATTTGTATAGCTACAGCGACATATAAAATTAAAGAGAGTCGCCTTAGAT